GGAAGAGAAGAGCGGGAGGCCCGCTCTTCTCTTCCTTCTCCTCCCGCTCTTCTCTTCCTCTCTCCTCCCGCTCTTCTCTTCCTCCTCATCCCGCTCTTCTCTTCCTCCTAGGAGAAGGAAGAGAAGAGCAGGCTGAGGAGGAAGAGAAGGGCGGGAGGAGAAGGAAGAGAAGAGCGGGAAGAGAAGGAAGAGAAGAGCGGGAGGAGGAGCAAGAGAAGAGCGGGAGGAGGAGGAGGAGGAAGAGAAGAGCAGGAGGTGGAGGAAGAGATGAGCGAGAGGAGGAGGAAGAGATGAGCGGGAGGAGGAGGCGTAGGAGGAGAGGAGAAGAAAGTGTAGGCGGAGGGGAGGAGAAAGTGTAGGAGGAGGGGATGAGATAGCGTAGGAAGGGGATGCAAAGAAGACGCAGACGCAGACGACGGCTTCTTGAGGTTATGGACGACCGACTGCGGATGGATCTTTACCGAGCAGGGCTTCACCAGCCGGCAATGCTCAACGAATCCCCGAGGTCGCCGCCAACGGCTGCGCGATAGACCGCTGCTTCTGCAGCACGGGCGCAAAGATTCCCAGCCGTAGTTTCTCATACAGACGATCCCTGCTGCTCGAGGGCCATCTTGAGGTGGCTGAACGGGCCAGTTGGTTCCGCCTGCGAAGACCTAGCTCTAAAAATGTCCTTAATAAACATTTTTCATAAAACCTTGTTATTAACGTTTAACCAACGTTAGCAAAACGTTCGTTTCCCACGACTAAACCATTTCACTACATCAAAAACGGTAATATACTGTCGATAAACCGTTTTTTCGAGGAGAAGAAAGTGTTATTATTATTATTTTATAACGTTGTTATATTCAACGTTGGTACGTATAATATATATATAACCTTATTATTAAAGTTTTGTGAAGGTTAAAAAAATTTTGTTTCAAACCTTGAATTAAATATGAAGTAATGATATTATACGCTTGTTTAATCGTGGAATTACGGCAGGCTTACTATATTGGCGCCGCATGTCCAGGTAACGAGGTTTTCCAAAAGTAACTGCCGCCTCGCAAACAAGCGACTGAGAAAAGTTGCGTATTACTAACGTCTATCTGAACACGCACCAACTGGAAGGAATCACGCCATATTGCGCAAAAGAAACATGAAAAGAGTCAGCCGTACCTGGAAATCTAGGGATGTATCCCCGAAGTTCAGCCAAATGAAAGGACAATTACTATCCCCATTACTATCAAGATATGCCCGAAGACCTTGATCAAAAACCGAAGCCAGTTAGGTAATGGTAAAAGTGGGCGGTGCCAGTGCTTGCAGAAGCGTAAATTTGTTGTCGATTTGGTAAAGCTGGGGTTGAAGGGGGTGCAGCATACTATTGTAACGATCATCACATACGAGAGAGGAATGGTTGTCTGCGGCGTTAGCGGGGGGGGGGGGACGTGAGGAACCGTCTTGAAACGAAACACAAGACTCAAAAACACGAAGTTGTGTTTCGATATAGTCGCATATGCTTGCATGCAATCAAAGGAAATTTTGAAAAAAAACAATGCCGGTAAAGAGTAGTACTGATTCGTTTGAAGTTAATGTCATGGTGCGTAAAACTGGTTAACCACCAGGCTCAGTCAGGGTGCGTGATCCTTCTATTAACCTTGGTTTTTGCCACTGTCGCTTGCAACGGGATTGTAGAGACCCAGATGTTATAACGGCGCCAAATGTAAGTGCGCTACCGCAGTTTATGTTTAGAGTGCGCGAAGAGCTAACATTCAAAGATAAAGAACCGAAGTCAGGAAAGAAAAATATAGTTTATTACATTCGCTTTACAGTGTGATGAAGCAATTTTCAGTGTAAACAAAAAACAAGTAAGCTTTACACAATACAAGAAAGAAACGAGCGTAAACTATAAGCACATTACCCTAAGATGACAAGAAAGGCCTAGCGCTATACGCGCTACGCTTTCTAACTAATGCGGATACCGAGCTCTCTTTTATATCACCAGAACCTGATGCCATGTCACATATATTTCCATGTGCGTGCGTGCTGTGTACATACCCACGCGTGTGCGTGCGTGCTGTGTACATACACACGCGTGTGCGTGCGTACGTGCGCGAGTGTGCGTGCCTGTGTGTGTGTGTGTGTGTGTGTGTGTGTGTGTTTGTGTGTGTGCGCGCGCGCGTGCGTTCCGTGCGTGCGTGCGTACGTTTGTGTGTGCGTGCGTGCGCGCGCGTGTGTGTATGTGTGCGTCCGTGCGTATATATATATATATGTGTGAAATAATATATATATGTAAAGATGCATGTTCACAACATATAGTAGATGCACGTTCTAGAATATTGTAGTATAATTTTCTATAAATAGTCAACAAACGTACGTTACTTTAGCTAAATAATGGCATAATAAGCTTTAATAATTAATGGTCTTCAACATCCAACAGTACCTTGCTATTTCTAAAACTTTTTTGTTTGCTGTTTACATATATTTAATCAACTTTTCAAATGACATTGACAGGAATTTACGTATAATGTAATATATATATATATATATATATATAAATAAATTAATAAATAAATAAACATTATATATACATTATACAGTGTATATAATATAAGAACTGTGAGCTTTAATATGAATGTACCTATATATGAAAACAGTTCATGATATATAAGTACGTAACCTATTAATTTCTAAAACTTTTTTGTCCGCTGTTTACATTTTTTTCATTTCATTATGTAATTAATACCGTTTACAAATTTTCGAATGACAGTGACATGAATGTATGTAATACATATACACATATGTACGTAAGTACACACACGCACGCACGTACGCACGCCCGCCCGCCCGCCCACACGCACGCACGCACGCACACACACGTCACTCAGACACTAATATATATAAATATATATATGTATATATATTATTATTAACATAAGACCTATAGTATCAGATATACTATTTTTTTGTCACTTATCCGTGAAAGCCTTGTCTTAGATCAGACCCAACCTCACCACACTATTGACATCGATCAAGAGCTGCGCCCGTACGTCCCTCATCATTACACAGTTGACTGAGTCATGAAATTTCGCCCCCCCCCTAGAAAGTTGCGCAGCCTACGGGCCCTGTAAAGATCTAGGCAGAGCATATAAATCAACGTTGATTTAAGTGCTCTGATCTAGGTCACGCTAACATAGTTATTATTTGGCAAAGGTATACATGTAACATTCAACCTACCTATCATCATATTATCAAGAGCTAATAATACCTTTATTAGTAGCATTAGTATTATTAGCTCTTGATATTATGTATGAAACCTAAAAATTAACAAAGCCTGATTTTCTTTCTTGGATTAGATTTAGAGCAATTCGTCACTGCACTGCAGTAAATAAAGTTGCTTCTATATAACCACTGGCACGTATAACAGTTATTATTATATGTTATAATAATTATACGTTATAACCATAGAAATAACCTATAGGTTATCTATATTATTTCTATGGTTATAACCATAGACATCCTATCCTAGATTATCTATGGTTAGATTTCTATGGTTATAACAGCTCAGTGCTCCACCTAATGCTATTTTAGTTGAACGCTCTATTCGCCAGGGGCAGCACCATCGAATCAATTAACAAGCAGCGTATGAGAAATGACCGGTCGGTTTGGCTTATTGTACAGTGAGTATACGGCCTTTGCATTTTGTTCAAACTCGCATGTTAGGGTGAAAAGCTGTTAGCGTTGTTTCGACCAACTATTTTACTTTTTTGTAAGTTTATATATGAACTAGTAATTGTCTGCTAATATAAATCTGTATGAACCATACTGGTTTACTATCTTATCTTATATTGCTCAGACTGATATTTCCTGCTCTAACGCTAAACCAAAATGGCGATACTGTTTCAGCCGCACATTCACAGATCAACATTATGCGTTGTCTACTAATCTTTAGCGTAAATTTACGCATCACCAATAGTTATTAGTATATATTGTGCACTGAATAATAAACTTTCACAATTCGATTTATTTTGCCGTGTGATGAACGAAGACGAATAGCATCACTATCACTGATACTATCAGTATCAGCCACACTAGGACTCATACTCATAGTCATAGGGTCTATGTCCCCCACGCCAGGGTACTGCCGGAACGTACCATGGCCTGGTAAACTCGGTTCCTGGCTTTTAAAACTGTGGTTCTCCCCATATTAGAATATCCTTCGCCAGGCTGTTGCCCTTTTAAGCAGGGGACACACTAGCTCTAGTACTATAGCCCGCGGATCGCTGCCGCAGGCGATCGCAGTGCCGCAGGCGCCTGCGGCAGCGATCCGCGGGCTATAGTACTAGAGCTAGGGACACACTATGCGAATTTCGCTGCGATCAGATCCGCAGCGAAATTTGCGGCGAAAATATTTGCACCCGCATGCGTTAAATTGAGCGGACACACGCGATCTACTGTCACCACACGGCTCCAACCATGGCTCCAACAGTCATGTGATCTCTGGTGAAAAATAGCGTACTGATACACGTGATTACTGAATAGCATAGGGCCTACTGATCAATGATTCGCTGCATTATAACATCAGCCGGCTTGATTTTCGCTTCCATGGACACACCTGGCACGAAATTACGATTTTTTTGCACTGGCCCAGAGGGCTGGTGACAGCAATTTTTTTACCAGCCCTCACCATAATTTAGCAGCCCCCCTTTTACAAATTTTGTTTGTAAAATCAATGCCATGTTTCACGCTTGCATTCTCAGTTTCAAATTTGTAAAATGTTGATAAATTATGGCGTGATATCTTTCAGGTAAAACAGTAATATAGGCGATTTGCTGATTAATGCTATAAATAAAAATGTAGGTACTTGCTCTAAGCACGGCTGAAACCACCGGCTCGGAGGGCCGGTATTTTGCCAATGTTACCGACCCTCCAAATAATTTGCCAGCAGATGCCGGTGGGCCGGTACCAAGGAGCTAAATATAACAAGGAGAGGAAGCGGATTGGCTGTGTGCTTTTCGCCTCAAGGACACCATCTATGGACCATAATCAGCTGAAACGGCTGTGCAGATCCGTCCCCCAGAGACAATAGAACACTAATCTGTTCTGGACCAATATGACCAAATATGGAAAATATTTGGGCCAGATATGGCGGCGCTTCCTCTCCTTGTTATATTTAGCTCCTTGGCCGGTACTAATTTCGCGCCCTTGACACGCGATGCAAATTTATACGCAGCGATAAAAATTCGCAGCGAAAATATCAAACATGTTTGATAGCTGCAGATAAAATTCGCCATCGCTTGAGATTTGAAATCAGTATGTGCCATTTCTTATTGTTTATTAATTTCAGACTTCCAGCCAAGTCTAAACACAAGCTGTATTATAATGGAGCAGAATAAGTATGTTGTGTGTGATGTCTGCAAGGAACAGTTTTCTGATGTGGCTACATTCCTAGAGCACAAAAAGAACACTGACACATTTGTGTGTGGCTTGTGTACTGCAAGATTTCATGTGTATGAAGACTTTAGCTTGCACAAATCAAACCATGCAGGCACAGGTAATGTAGTTAGAAAATTATGTCAAAATATTAATCATTTTCAAATCATTATCTGTTGTCACTGCAGTTTTCTGTGATGGCCTAAGATTGTGCACACATGAATTGAATATGAGAAAGAATTAATTAATCAAAACCAATTTTGACAGAAATGACATTATTATTTTCACTATCTCTTTACATATATAACATTGATGAAATATCGATAAGGAAAACAGAGCATAGATTTACTAAATTATTTGGGAGATATATTGGATTTAAACGAGCTAAATATAATATGAAGTGAGACATTTTCAGGTAACTCCCTTGTGCGTATTCTGTATTGCACTATATATGAATTTCAGTTGTTGGCCATGACTCTGATCATCCATCGGTAAATATGGACCAGTCTAGCAGCACGAATGCAGGTAAAAAACAGTGACACGGAGCCATTTTATCCAGAAAGTTCTTTTACATGGTGATGCCTAATGTAGCAAAGATGGTTTTTCATTGCTGTATGTCATTTGCAAGCCTTCAAATGATTTCCCTCTTGCATCTACCCAACCTAATTTCTGTTTGAACTACTTCACTATGCTGTAGTGAGGGATCTTACGAGTCTCTGCTCAAGCACAGTCTAAAAAATTCTGTGTCTTCATTTGTAAGTACATGTCCAGGGGTAGAAATGAACTTTTGAACACAGGAGTCCAGCGGACTCCTTACCCTCAAAAAGAGGGAGTCCTCAGTCTGAGGTTCAAAATTAAAGATATTAACAATAACGCATGTGCTTATTTTTAAGATTCATGCGGTTGCACGTCTGCCCAATTTTCTTTGGACATTAGCTGAAAAAATATGGTAATTATGGTATGGCACAATTTTCAGGGAGTCACACGGACTCCTGCATATGTCAAATCACTTGAAATCAGGGCGTCCGACAGCAAATCAGGGAGTATTTGACTCTGGACTCCCGTTAATTTTGCACCCTGCATGTCGAAATATTCGTCGATGTCTCTTCGTGATGGCTTACTGTTGGTATTCCTGCTTGCACTCTATAAGATCTCGCTTGCTCTTTTCGTGTTAAAAAAGGATAGCGTTGCCTGGTCTCTTTCTGTCTGTGTGTGTAGAACAGTGACATCTTGAGCTACGTGTTTGTAGGTGTGGATGATGGCCATCAATCTGATACTGAGCTCTCAGTCGTGATGTGTAAGCTGTGTGGGCAGTATGCAATCAGCAAGTCTCAAATGTGGAAACACCTCACCACAGAACATGGTGTCTTCTATGATGATACTGCAGAGTCTCTTGTGATGTCATGCTTGGAGCAAGTCAAAGGTGCAACCCCTTCTATTTTTTAAGCTTCAATTATTAACTCGGCATGCGAATATCATAATTTTTCAAGGTCGGACTCAAGAGTCCCAGTTATGAACCTATTTGTCTAAGTACCAACCTGCAGTATATGATTCATTGAACGGAATATGCGTTGAAAGTTCCACTGGTATTTAGCAGAAGCTGTTACATAATCCCTTCACTCGCAAGGGTAGCGCTATTCTATTATTCCTTATTTGCAGTCTTTAGTAATTCAAGGACACGTGTGCTCATATTTAGGATGTAGGCTGGTTAACGTCCCGTAGGAAAACAACTTACTTTTGTTTTCATTACTGAAAGGATCTGATATTCGTAGTGAGAATTTTTGGTTATTTTTCGTAGATGTTTACTGGAGAATGATCTGTTCTTATTTCTAATTGAATAATATTTTCACTGATGTCCTGATCCTTGAAAGGCTAAATGCTATAATTTCTCGACTCCTGCAAGTAGAAAAGGATAAGCAAAGTGATTAACATGAATGTTTTCAAAAAAGAAAGCCCACTACCTATTTTATTGTAGGTATCATGTCAAACTGAATGTTTAGTGTGGTGCAGAGCTACCTCAGACTAAGATCTTGTTGTTATGAAAGCAGGTGCAGCAGCAGCAGCAACAGTAGGAGTTATAGGAAAAGCAACCATGGCAGCAGCAGCAGGAGGTATAGAAAAAGGTTACCCTAGTTTCAGCAGTGGTAGGAGTTAAATGATAAGTAACCGTAACATCAATGGCATTAGGTGCTATAGAAAAAGTAACCGTAGCAGCAGCAGTGGTAGGAGCTATAAAAAAAGGAACTGTAGCAGAAGCAATAGCAGTGAGCATTGTAAAGAAGGCAACTGTAGCACAAGCAGAGGTGGGAGTTCTAGAAATGGACACCCTAGCACCAGTCGCCAGTGGCAGTAGGTATAAAAAAGGAACTGTAACACCAGCATCAGTTGGTATAGAAAAAGTAATACTTCAACAGTAGGAGCTAGAGATAAAGTAATCCAAGGAGCTCGGGCAGCAGAAGTTTTTGAGATAGTAACAGTAGCAGCAGCAGTAAGAGTTATAGAAAAAATAACAGTTTCAGTGGCAGTAGTCCGAATACTACCACCAGAGGGAGCATTGGCAATACAGCAGTAGTGATAAGATGAGCACTGTCGTGTAATGATGTAATTTAAATTAGCAGTAGTGAAAGCTATTAAATCATCTACATAAGAGTTCTTAGGTTTATTTAAATAGTAACGTTTAATATTTTATGTAACAGTTCCTCATCTGAACAGGAAACACGCATGTTACATTGTAATCTTGTGTATACCATTTGCAATATCCAGGTGCATCAACTGTAATTGAATCACCTTTGCACAATGTTGTGCAAAAGAGACGTCGAGGCCGCCCACCCAAGAAACCTCCAGCTGCAGAAGGTAAACTATATTTCTTAACTACATGCCAACCATTATTTATTTAAAACACAAATAAACATTACTCAAACCCTGAATTATAACAATCATCGGCTGGTTATTGTTGGTTGTATCTATTGCAGTCTCGCTCATTACATTTCTTTTGGCTATTGGTAGGTGCCTGCACCCCATCTGATATGCGCAACCCGTTGTCTGGAAAGGAGAAGCTAGATGACAGCTGCCAAGACAACAGTGTTAAACTGTCCAGTAGTGTGAGTCCTGGCTCTGAGAATCCTACCAGTGAGCCCCCTACAAAGCGAAGACGGGGCAGACCCACAAGAGCAGAGGCGTTAGCCAAACGTATGTTTCAGTGCTCATGCTCCATGTATAGTAGCTCGACTTAAATTATAATGAATGGCTGCAATGTTTATTGGTGTAGCAATCAATTTTGTAATGACAGATTTGGAAGAATTCTCTGGATTTTTAATCAAAATGGCCAGCTGTTGTAATAACTTCACCAGCTTTTTATAATACAGTCAGCTCATCGTTTTTGTAATACAGTGTAACTGTAATAGCATTAGCTGCGTTCAGATGAGACTCCGTATTTATTAAATTCGGTATTTGCGAGATACCGAATCTGAGACAAATTCGTCACTCACTCCACCCGAGCGTTCACATGCTGTTTCGCGGCTTCAGAAATGCCGTATTTAGTTACTTGTCGATTCGCTTGGTGGTGTCGGATTCAGAATGGCTAAGCCCATGGGCAAAGAGAATATCCATGATATTGCTATTTTATCCAGATTTTTAATGAATTTTACGCAGAACAACGAAGATCAAGATGATCACAATTATTTTATGTTGCAAGAGAGGACATTTTATGTCTCTCGACGGGGTTTCTGTGAGTAATCGGAACACACGGAAATGGCCGATAAAATACGCGGCTTCAGAAATGTAGTATTTGCATTCAGTTGCTCATTCAGTCACGAGAGAAATGAGCGGTCCAAGAGATTCGGAATTTCTCAAGCACGAGAAGTAATGCGGCATCTGGTAAGCTGTGTATTGTTGGACCACGCATTTTAACCTCGTGTGAACACTAAATACCGAATTTATTGCTCCGTGTCAACGCGGCTATTGAGTTTAATACAAAAGCTGGCAGTTTTTATTACAAGAATAGCAAAATTTTACAAAAGCCATTATTGATCTGCTATTACAGATGTGGTGAGTTATTTCAAAAGCTATTCTTGTCATATAAGGCATAGCTAACACTGATAAACGAAATAAATGTCTCTATTCTGGGAACAGAGTAGCAGCCATACTATTTAACAGCATCTGCATCTAGTTTAATCGTATACTAAGAACAGTCAGTTGATGCCGAGCCATCTTATTACATCACCCATGTAGAGAAATATTCTGACAGCATTAGAATAATTGTAATCAGAATGATCATAGCACATATCTCGACATATCGATCAAACGGCCTCTGTGTAAAAATTATCAAGCAAACAACTAGTGGTTTTGCATATTTTTGGCTTTGTGTTCACCACACTCCCCAGGGCAGGCACAGGCAGAGCAGGATCGACCTGTAAAACCTCCACCATTGTCTGAAGATAAGGAGCTCCCAGCAGAGGTGCGACGCATGGGCGACAAGCTGCAATGCATCAGGTGCACGAAGTCGTTCGCTCGGCTGCGGCAGGTGCATGGCCATCGCTGCATCAAGCGTGAGAGCGACTTTATCGAATACTTTCCAGAGCGGGCCAATGCAATTGCACAGTTGGAGGCAGACGATGATGACAAGGAAGATGAACCAGGTACTGGTGTAACCATGACATGCTAGTGTCTATATCAGTACCATAACACACCGGTTAATGCTGTCGCATAGAACATTGTTTTGGTATAGCACTAAATTATAGAGAACTTTTTTGCCAGAACAAATAATCACTGTAAATACTAAGTGCCGAAAACGTGTATTCATTAACGAATGCAAAGGTCACGAGTTTGAATCCACAATGTGCACAGAGCAGTCGTTTTTAGCTCATCTGACATAGTCAGATTGCAGCTTGTAGAATCGCTTGATCGTCCGTCCGTCCGTCCTCCGTCCGTCCTCGGTCGTCCCGTCCGTCAACAGTGGGGCACAAATCTTAACGCTCGACGTACCGTCACGATATCTGGCACATTGGGGGGGATCGTCAAAACGAGTTTGGTCTGTCGAAGCTGGGGACAAATGTCAAAGGTCAAGAGGTGTAAAAGAAGGGGGAACATTCACTCCTTAACTTAAGGTATTAGGGAGGAAATGCAGAATTGCGGCACAAATTAAAGGCTCGACCTAGGCTCGTGATAGTCGGTGTATAGCATCATGGTAGGAAAAGCTATCACTGTGCGAATTGGAGGTCAAAGGTCAATGGCACAGGGCAGATATTTAGACATTTTCTGAGGACATGGTCTGAAGGAGCGATTGAAAAACTTTTTTGTTTCAGCGGTGACCAGCATTTTTTATGTTATTGAAAAGGACATGAAATCTTACTTTCTGGCTGACATGCGAGAGTAAGTGTCACGATAACTTTTGACCCTCAAGAGGAGGGTTAAACATGGATTTGTGACTGTCTGTTAGAAAGAAATTGACTGCCCGGGCTTTGCTAGTAGAATCTATACATGCTGATGTATGAGGTTACAATGTCACAGTGAAATTTCAAAAAGCTAAATTTGGTTAAAGAGGTTTATGCTCCTTAAATCGTATAATTTATATGGCATTCTGTAGTGTCAGTATGTTACATGTAACGTTATGCCACTGCAGTGGCTACTGCCAGTGGTCCACTGTGTTGTGTATGCGTTGGAGTTTTTGCCTTAATTGGTTACAGGTGGCAGCTCTCTATTGCGCAGCCTGTAGGCTTGCGTAGGTAAATGGATGAGTGCTTACCTATTCTGTCTTGGCAGATAGTTGTTGCTATACGTATGATGGGAGCTTCCATCTTTAATCTGAAGACACTTAAACGTACGCGCCATCTCGTGGCAACTTTCATAACGGTTCTCAAAAGAATGTTCGTTGGGATGGTTCCTGATACCATCCCTGTGCATTCCAAGGCGACAGCGCTCATCTAACGTCTACTGCGGTGACTCTGTGGAGTGGTGGGATTCTAGTAAACCCTGTTAGTCCCAAATGTGTTCACATACACGCCGAAACAATGCGGCACTTGTTGTGTATAGCGGCAATCACAAGCACTGTAAATGTAGTTTGCTGCTTTACAGATGAGCTCCAGTGTGTTGCGAGTAGGACTCTGTAGACTGTCTTTTCAGTTGGCTTTTCATTTCTTAGGAATATGTCCTCTGTCTATTACTATAAGAGAAAAAAAAGAATAATGAGCTTGAAAATGTGAATAATGTGAATAATTGTGAAAATGTGAATAATGAGCTTGAAAATGTGAAGTGCAAGGTGCTGCGAAATGGTGACCAATTATAAAAGCAGCACTCACACCTTCCTTTTCATGTTGATTTATCCAGCTCCAACTGCTGAGTTGAATGCTGAAGATAATAGTGATGAACTGTCAGCAAATGATGATGATTACAGACCGCCCAGTCATGTCAAAGGTAATTATCTGCAGCGATCTATGTAGTGCTGGCACAACAAATCTTGTTATCAGTTTTAAAATTATTTGAACTTGTGCTTCAAGCTGTAAGCTTTAGTTGCTTTCACGTGCAGTATTTAATATACTACACTTAAGAGATCTTAAGTGCTTGCTACCTCTTCCGCAGTTGGCAGAGGTGGAATTATTTCATCACATGCCCGATCACATAGTGAAGTACATATTTAAAGTCGCAGTTGGCTGTTATTATGATGTTTTGGCAAGACCTGTTACTAAATGATATCTAATGGGTGTGAAGCCATGATTTAACCCATAGTGTAAGCCAGAACTTGTTTGCCTAAACTGACCATATAATTCCTATACGTATATATGCTATCTTTCCTTGTGAAGTTTTCTATTTTGTTAAAACTGCATTTTCCTGGTTAAAAGCTGTCCTAAATGTTTGTATAACCACTACCATTTTTGTCTGCAAATTAAAAATGCCCAAAACATGCCACGTTTAGCACAAAGACGCCTTGTGAATTTATGAATATAGTTTGCAAAATGTAAACAAACCACCATGTTCATTCCATGTTTTGATAAAAAATGTATTGCAACTTTGCTTCACCATCCTCGCAAGTTTATTGGGGAATTCAATCGGCTGGGTTTCTCTTGAGCAAGGTCACACTTTCAAGAATTCATTACCAATATTAATCCAGGAATAATTGGTATTGGACATTTTATTCATAACAATGGTAAAAGACATTAAAGGCATACTAGGCCCATTGATTATGCAATGTTGACGAATGCTAGAGTAACTGGCACCTTGTGTAGTTAATAAGTACATAACCTTACATCCAAACGCGTATTAGTTTGTCCAATATCACTGCTGGTTACTAAGAAATGTCTAATTGAAATCCGCAGTCCAAGAAATCAGTTGTCAACAGTTTCAAACCGCTGCCGGCGAAGATTATATCCCAACAGGGGCCCTTCAGCCGTCTGTACCAAAGCTCCACCATTGAATCTTTAAAGGGACAGTAGCCTCTAGGATTTTACTTCATACAACTGTACTTACTGTATAACAAATCGTCTATACCCACACGTATTTGTTACCAGATACCTAATTTAATTGTTATAGTTAATTACACATCAACGCTACGAAATTTGAACGGCGCCATGACACCCGCGACCGTGCTGCCACCCCGAAAAAGTTGCGTATTTGACAATTCATTTTACACGTTACAGACCAAGGGCTAATCACAAAAATGCAATTATACCACTGAAATATGTGCTTTCCACTCGACGTGCGAAGAGTAAGATGTCGAATAAACCTGTTGACGCCTCAAGTATCGGTGGACCGAGATGGCTACGGATATTTTTATATTCAAAATTCAATTTTTTATTTGTCACAATTCATTTTCCAAAATTTTCAAATATCATGTTTCATTATCAATTCATTTTCATTTTCATTTCACTTTTCAATTTTCATTTTCACTTACTCATTTTCATTTTCATTTTCATTTTACCATTCCATTTTCATTATCTTCATCCTCATTCTCATTTTCATTCTCATTTTCATTCTCCATTCCTCTTATTTTCATTTTCATTTTCATTTTCATTGGCTCATTCTCATCTCATTTTCAAATTCTATACATTCTCATTTCTCATTTCATTTTCATTTTCATTCTGGTATTCTCCATATTTCAATTTTCATTTTCATTTCAGAAGTTCATTTTCATTTTCCAATTCCCAAATCATTTGAGCCGAGTGAAACTCTGCGAATTGCGCCGAAGAATGGATAAGGATAATTGGTATGAGGCGCGGAGGTGACGTCACTGTGTCCCCCCTTAGTAGGGGAGTCGAACCGAAAGAACAAAGGGGCGGGGGGGGGGGACGCCGTTTGTTTTGGTTTATGAAACGGTAGATAAGTGCGTTTTTCTCGATGTATATTCCATGAAAAACCACATTTTACTCATTATATAACATATATATCACTATATTGCAATTCTTTGTGTAAATGTTGTTATTGTCCATCTTTCATATTAGAGGGTTTCGGCTCTCGTAATAACGACATACGTAGTACGGTAAAGTACGTGCCAACATGCGTACTGGTACTACATAGCTTCGCTGGCAGTCGCAGGAGCGTGTGTGTGTGCGTGCGCCTTTGGCCGTGTGCGCGGCCCGCGGTCATATGCGTGTGCGTGTCGTGTGTGTGTGTGGTGTGTGTAGTTATAAAAAGTAAATAAATAATTAATTAATTAAAACATTAAGAACTTATAGATGCGAATACCGTCCCTGTGCGTTTTCGGACCTAGTGGCTTTCGGACTAGTGGGTTTTCGGACTAGTGGCTTCTGAGCTATGTGGGCGTCGACTAGCGCAGCAGTCACCGCTATACTATACGATAATAGAAGTCATATAACTGAATAAAACAATAGACACACAAGAGAATCTGTGCTGTCGACTCATATGTGTCTATACAAAGTGATTAGGCAAGAACCGTTTCTTTTGAGTGTAGGTGCTAACGTAACGCCTGTAGTGAGAACAGCGAAAAAAATAAGGAGCCGCGAAAAATGGTTGTGTTGCTGGTAACAGGCCACCTCAAGGGTACCCTATCCTTATTTGGGTTACATTATTGTGTTTAGTGTTAGAGGCAGCACAAACAATTTTAGATGGTGGTACGTAGTCGATGAAACGTCTTGAGCTGACGTCAGAACGGGTTTCGCGGCCCCCACCTTATACTTTTCCACCCAACCACACCACTGCTCATACCGCGCGGTCGTTGCCGTCTAGAATAGCGAGGCTTCTGAGTGTGCTGGCGGTGGGGACCAGTCTAGAGCGCGCACGTGTGATGTGGGTTATCGCGTCCCTCCGTGTTGCTACAGCAACACAACGCCGCATAGGCACACGGCGCGCACCACACGAAAAGCGCACACATCACACACACACACACCAAACGGATAACACACATTCGCACACGCACAGCAGCACGGAACAGATTAGCACCACACGCACGCTGTCGAACTTTAAGGAAGGGCATGCAGTCAGTATTGCTTTGGCCTTTGGACCGAAGAACCAACTGCAAATTGTAGAATGTTGGTTTGTGTTTATAGAACGCGTCACAGGCCCGCATATCACACCGGGCTAAGGCGCACTTTGCTCGACCTGCAAAGGTGATCACTGTTCACACATAAAAACAACCAGATCTTTTCTCGTACACCGAATCCTATAACATATAATACGACGAGACTGCGAGCGAAGGCTATAGTACCAAGAGTACGGGCAAGTTGCTAGGTTTCTACGTAACGTAACCGCTACGTACTGGTCGTATTACGAAGCCGAAACCTCTCAATATGAAGATGCAACAATAACAACATTTACACAAAGAATTGCACATTATAGTGAATTTATGAATTATATATATTAACGAAAGTAAAAGTGTGACATTTTGTGATGGAATCAACTACATCAGAAAAACGCACTTATCTACCGATCGCATAAAGCCAAAAGAGAGCTGGCAAGTTTGGTTGCAGTTGTTGACTGCCCACAGAAGGGGAAGTGGGAACGTCAATGGCCGCCCCCACCCAATATCCGTAAGCCATCTCGCCACCGCGAGTTTTCATCGCAATGAATTTGGAATGAAAATGAAAATGAATTTGAAATGAAAATGAAAATGAGAATGAGTAATAAATGAATGAAAAGAGAATGAGAATGAAAATGAGAATGAGAATGAAAATGAAAAGAGAATGAAAATGAAAATGAAAATGAAAATGAGAATGAGAATGAATAATGAAATGGAAAATGAAAATGAGAATGAGAATGGAGAATGAAAATGAAAATGAGAATGAGAAATGAGAATGAAATAGAAATGAGAATAGAAAATGAAAATGGAAATGAACAAATGAGAATGAGAATGAAATGACAAAATGAGAATGAGAATGAACTGAAAATGAAAAATGATATGATGGAAATGAAAATGAAAATGAAAATGAAAATGACAATGAAAAATGAAAATGAATTTGAAAATAGAAAAAATGAATTTTGAAG